AGTGGTTCTGACAGGCTAGGTCTAACGGTTAACGTTAGGCATAGGGCTTTCAGAGCAGGCCTATAATAGACTTCGGCAATCAACCAAGCGTTTGGGCTTCATCATTGGCCTAGAATAAGCAGAGGCCTGTTTCTTCCCTTCTTGGACTCCTACAACATGTGTCCCAAAAAAGAGAACAGTTTAGAGTGATACATTGGCAATTTTGGGGTTCTAAACTAGGATAACCAATTCAATAGGTCATTGCTTTCAGCATTTCAGGCAATGGTTTCCAACTTCAGGTCTCTGCTCCCGTAGAGCCCTGACCAACCTTAAAATGAGGGGAGGCTCAGAAGAAATGGGAATTAAGTTTTTTGCTCTGCAATGCAAATTAATGAGATATGGCTCTGCTCAGGTTAGAGGTAATTAGTAACTATGCTGGTGAGTGGCAGTCATTTTGCAATTGAAGAGCCTGGGGATAGTACAATTGCATCAAATTCACTGTTTTTGGATTGAATTTGTATCCTATTGTGGAGAACGGAGAAAGCACAAGGTTTCAAGACAATCTGCAAGATTTCAAGACAATTGCAAGATTTCAATCATGCTGCAATGCATGGTTGTCAGATTGTTGGTGGTAATTGAGCTTTTGGGATTAAGATAGAGAAGGAAAGGGCCTTCATTATCTTGGAAATTAAATGAAAGTAGTGAATGACCCTCAAAGGAAATTCTCCAATCCTTAGGATGTTGTGCTTCCTTGGTAAAATGGTGTCCCATCCTTGAACATCACTGCAAGTCATCTTACATTAGCTGTGTGAAAACAATCAGAGCTTGCAGGCCTCACAGGAGGAAAAGGCTTCAAGAATCCTGCATACTTGTGCATACTTGTGACAAGTTTTACAGCATTTCTGATTTACATGAATTTGTCATCCAAAAACATCAAGATGACTCTATGAATCAAATGCTTGTTTGTGTTCCATTTCCATCATAGGAAGACACAACACTAATGTAGTAAAATGCATTCGATCTCGCAGGGAACAAACCCACAAATTCAGACACAGAAAATATGAAGAAAAAACAGTCAAGTGAAGATCAGAAACTCTCAGCTCTGCCTCTAGTGACCCAGGGTTGTCTCAATTATTTCCCCTTTCTTTGCCATCTTTGAAAAACCTTTATTTCTTGCTCTAATTTTTACACTGTTCCTCCCTCATAATCCATGTTATGCTTTTTTATTAGTTGACTATTGTGTCTATTTGTTGTCAGATACCCAAATGTCCTTCACAAAAATGACAGTTAAAAAAGAGGTGAAGATCTGAATTGACATTGATCTTAAAGCAGGGAGATTTGAACTCAAACAACCATGCAAGGTTCCCCAGAGAGACCCACAAAAGATTCAGCTAATACTGAACCTTTCATCAACTGGGTGTCCTCCCTGCACTCGATGGAAGCATTCCTAAGGGGGGTACCAATTCAGTCCGAAAACAGTGTATGCATAGTCCCTTTGGTGGATGTTCCAAAGCAACAATCATAGCAAATGAAGTGACAGCAGCTTATGTGAGGTACCTACCAGATCTTTAGGATAGCATTTGCATAAGACCCATTCTCTACTGTGAGAAGGGATCCTACTGCAGGGAAAAGAAACTTAAACAAAGAAGTTATTGTGCAAATGGGCTGTGAAGACGAGTTCTAAATGCTTTTCCTTGCCCTAATATGACATGGAAATAAAAATTTGCCAAAATCAGTTGTGGTGTTCCATACTGGATTTTGTGAAAGAAGGGCATAGAAGTCCATGTCCCAATTGTGGTTATTGAGTATAGGGTGCAGATTGCTTCTGTGCTTCCTCTAGATGTTCCCACTTGGATGAAGGTTATACTTCAGTTGCTTACTCCAGAATGGGACAGACTTAGGGTATGCATTCTCCTACCCTTGGGATCCTTGGGAGCACCTCTCAGGTTATGCTAAAGTTCACATATATATTGATTTTGGCCATGATGATTGTATTGTGTTAATCCTAGTTCATGTTTTCATTGCTGGTAAGGCCCAGTACTTGTTGACGGAAAGTGAATTGTGGTGCAAACCTGTATTACTTAAGATAGTGAGAAAAGGGGTAATGAAGTTGATGTATCTTGGAGATAATGTTAGGGCCTAAGGATTTTATTGGTATTAAAACCACTGAGCAGCTTTCTGCTGCATTCCACAGATAGGATAGGACTTACTATGATGGTATGATAACTAGGCCTGATGCCCCAGTAAGTAGGTATAAGCCTACCTATCAGAAAGGACTAGTTTAAGCCTCTCACAGGCCTGGTTGAGCAATTTAAACCTAGGCCTGTATAACCAAGGCCAATGTGTGGCTAATGGTTGACCTAGGTTTAAGATATAGGCCTAAACTTGTTGCACTAGCCTGAGGTCTAATGTAGGCCTTTTCATTTTAGTCTATAGTCCATAGCTGTGTTGTCTGGGAAGGAATTCACTGTGAAGATGATCATTGACTTCAGCAGGACCTGAATATGCAACAACTATGGTAAAAAATATATATATAAAAAAATTGTTGCTCAAGGTCAAAGTAGATAAATAAAAAGTTTTCTTTATCTGAATACTCTAATATATAGCTCCTTTGTCCTAGATTGGACTCCCCTGTAGTCTATGAACTCCATTAAGATCAAGGCATTATCATGAAGAAGAACCCTGAATAGAGTGAGTGAAACAGCATTCAAAGCAGAGTCCCAAGCTTGCTGGGACAAAACCTGAGCAAAACTTCTCTTGAGGCCAAAATAATGTGTAAATATACTGTTTTTTATTCAAATTTGAAGTGGATCCTCTGGAAATTGTGCTTTTTCTGTTCTCCAATACCTAGGGGAGTGTAAATTTAATCTGAAAACAGAATATAGGGGAGAGTGGGGCACCATGGGTAACTTTTTTCATGGGCATGCATATTATGCATTTTTATTCCTTTGAAGCAATGGAAGGCTCTGTGTGTAAAGACACACATCACCTGGTACAATCCTCTTTCAAAGTGCTCAACCTCCACATTTTGAGCAACAAAGTCATATTTTAAAATGGGCACCATGAGTTGCCATGGCTCAGTGTTTGGGGTATGACAGGTCATCCCTGTAATCATCACTACAATGAAGTTCAATTTGCTCAAAGTCATCTAATCTCATGAGTATTTGCACCATAGGAGGAGAACTTGTTGGATACTAATATATGGGTACTTCACTGCAATTATCTAGGGAAAAAATGAACCTTTAATTGGAAAATAACTAGTCACAATAATAGACATGTTTGACACCCAAGTATATCACACCTGCTGGTGCTGAACCCCTCAGAGTCTTGTGTTTATAATCAAGCATTTTAAGGTCAGGAAAAGACTGCAAAGGATATTACAATATGCATTGACAACTCTCAAAAAACATTTGGTGCAGCATGGGGCATCCTGTTGTGCTCCAAATAGAGTGACCCATTCTGCCCTAATTCAAGCCATTAAAATGAAATCAGGATTACATAGGATTTATATAGTATTACAGGATTACTGGATTACAACCATAGTAAGCTACAGTTGCAGCTCATAGATATTGAACAACCAATCTCCTGAATCCAACACCAGCAAGAATCAAGACTTTTCATCAAAAGAAATAGCAAAAAGTCAAAATATGACTCAATAAAAATGAAAAAGTGTCGACCATAGAACATCTGCATAATTTGCACTTTTGGTGGGAACTACTCTTTTTTCAACTACACTTTCTTGGCTCCTCAGCTGATAGATACTCATATATATATATATATGGCCTAATGCCCTTGTTCTATAGTTCTTCATAATTAGAAAAAGTGACCTCATATTTCAGATGCATAGGTACTTTTTGGGTGGGTATCCCACATAGGCAGACCTGTGCAAGAACATGAGTTGTGCCTCCAATCATAGGCATGGGCTTCATTTTAACTTGAACTTGTTACCTATACCTTTGTTATATGTTATATACCTTTTTCTCAAAAGCAAGTGTGCCTGCTGATTCTCACCCTGGGTTCTCTTGTTAACTTATAATGCCTAAATTAGGAATTTCAAGAATGTAATTTTCCTGCCACTACCAATGAGGTTGCTGCCTTAGGGTAGATCTAAGTCAAATATGGCACAGGTTTTAAATGCACTGTTTTCAGATTGAATTTGTATCCCCCTCCTCTATAGGATCACTTCCATCATGTGCAGATAATGATATCCTCCATGTGGGCTGTTATGCCTATCACCTGATGAAACAGATCCTTGAAGTAGTGTTTCTCTACTCTTGGGGGGGGGAGTATGAATTCAAGCTGAAAACAGTGTATGTTAGGGTGAGTTAAAGGGTGACCAAAAAAAGTGTTGTTACAGGTATAATGACTTTATTACAAGACAATGTGATATAATTAGGGTTACAAATCACTTCAAATCATTATGATATTTATTCTGTCTATTAATAGTCTTTCTTGATAATCTGTTTGTTTGCTTTTCTTGGTGATTACAGCATTAAATTTTAGATTATCTAGAAAAGGTTATTCCAAGGAAATTCCTGCCCCATTTCAATGCGGCAAATATATATTTATGCACCACCAGCAATAAATATGCCCAAAATTTAAATTTGCGGACACCTGGGTCATTGAGAATGGCTGGGCAATAATGAAAGACAGACTGCCTGCCAAGGAATACACATCGCTCAAATCAAGGAAAAAGGACATTAAGATTTGGCATGAAATTGATCAGGACTTGCCTCTTTGCAGAGATTAATTAGTTCAATGCCAAAGAGATTTAATGCTGTAATCACCAAGAAAGGCAAACAGATTATCAAGAAAGACAATCAATAGACTTAGAATAAATATTGTAGTGATTTGTAACCCTAATTGTATCACATTGTCTTGTAATAAAGTCATTATACCTGTAATGACATTTTATTTTGTTCACCCTTTATAGGTTTAAGTGCTTTGTATAGATCTAAGCCTATTTTATAGAAACACTTATGGGCCAACTACATATATGCATACTTGCTAATTCTTATTTCAACATGTCTTGCTATTCCAGTGCTCTAGTGAACAGTGTGAAATCCATCACTTTGACCTTAATATCTGGCATCTATATCTGATACATCAGTCATAGAAGATCAACAAGTTGTTTCAAGCAGTCTCTTGTGTGTAAGAATCAAGGACTTGTTCATCCCATGAAGAATACCCTCCTGTGCTGACTTGCAACTACCCTGATTGCAATACTGTCTTGCAAATTTCCCAATTGCAATACTGTCTTTAGAAAATGGGAAGGGTGAAAAAGGGAAGAAGAGGTGATGTTGACAGGTGAGAATAACTTTTTTCCCCACTTTAACTTCTTTAATTTTTTCTGATGTACATAGGCTGCATGTTTGCACCCTAAACTGCTTGAAATAATCCTTAGCAGAAGAGTCTCACAGCCATCAAGCACATGCTTCCTGAAAAGCCCATTCTAAAAAATGAGTGACTCCAGGTACAACCAATTCCCCCCTCCCTCCCTCCCATGGTTATCCAATTGTGACATTGCCAACACAAGCACCACTCACACATTGGAAGGCAATTCAAAAGGTACTGATGTTATAACAACTAATTAGATTCAGCACCTTACAGGTAGATTGGGACAGAGGCATTACTTCATCAGCATTTTAAATGACATAAATTTAACTTGCAGCCATACATCTATTGCTTCTGCCATGGGTGAAGTAAAATGAGGCAATGCTGCATAACTGATGTAACATAGTTTGGACAGCGGTTTTGGTTCTCTTACTCTCTGTTCTATCTGATTTGGTTTCGATTTTACCTTGAGGTGCCATTCATTCAGGAAAAGAAGTGCACATTTCTGATGGTCACATTTTTCCATGTCAAATGGCATTTCTTGCCACTTTAATCTAGTTTGGCTAGGAGAGGTTTCTATTGTCATTGACAGTAAATAAATGTTTCTGATAATAAATTTGTACCTGGTTATGACCACCATCAGGATGAGATTTACTCAAGTGGCATGGAAGAGGTAAGGAAAATGTCCCATCTTCAGTGATAAGATCTAGCACTGTGAAATAATAATTTCTCATCACTAAGCAAATTGTAAAGAAATAACTTAAAACTTTAATAATTATTTTTCAACATTTTCTCATAGAAGAATTCCTGCTGAAGTGATACCTCTATGAAAGCGAAAGATGGGAGAATGCATCCATATTTACAAAAGCTGTGAATAAAGGCATTTGCATTCAATGGAGAATTTATGAGGGCTCTTTGAGGTTTCTACCTGGACCTGCTTTTCTTGTAATAAGGCTGAGTTGATACTTATCCCATGCTGCATGCTATACTACAGAATCCTATCCAGCTTTTGTAACTGCTGGACTGCATTCATTCAATATTGCAAAAAATTACTGATCAACAGTTTGATGCAGCATGTTGTCCAGCAAAAAATTTGTGCTGCACAGCATCCTGGATTGAATATAAATCATTCATGCTTTTTTTAATTTGTAGAATATATGGTACACAGAAGCAGTATTGTATTTGCTGAAGTAGCAAGCAGTTTTCTGTATGTCAACAGGCTACTGCCATGTACAACACCCAGCATTCAACATGCTGCTCAGTGGGAGTCTGAATTAAGATGAAGGAAAGTTACAAATTTTTTATCTGCATAAACATACGAGGGACATGACACAAGTCATAGCTTTGGGACAGGTCATGATTGCAAAACCTGTTGAGAGGATCCCTTTCCTGTGAAGTTCAGGAAATTGTCTCTCCCACCCGCCTTCTTTATTCAAAATTAGTCATGAAAAAGATCTGAAAATGGAAACACATGGGGTGGTGCATGAATAAGTATTGACTTTTGACTTGCAATATCTCCCCAACAAAAGCAGTGATTTTAATGAGTAATTATTAATCATCATTTGAAAGAACACCTTTTAACTTAATGATTGGTGTAAGTCACTGCACAATTCCAAAGCTATCTGTTCTCTGCAGACTCTGAAAAGCAGAGGGAATTCCCAGCTACCACAGGACCTGAAAGAGTCAATTTCATGATAGCCAAATAGTTTCTCAGGTTTCCTGTCACAGATTTAAATAATCCATACCTTGTTTTAAAGTGGAAGCACTGCGCTAAAGGACGTTGCCACTGACTTTCTCAATGCACTCCATCAGAACACCATGGACACTGACATGCATTTCTGATCATCCCTTAGTTCTTGTTCATCCTTTAACACTCTTCTCATATGTCCCTCAGTGTCCCTATGTGTTTAATGGATAAATGTTAACCTCCTTGGCATTTCTGACTATATAACATCTTGAACAGAAGATAGGTGCAAACTGTTCATGACGAGATCTCATCAGCATGACTTACTTCCCGTTTCTGCACCAGCAAATATATTTATCAGAATGACACTATTTCATTTCACTGTTCATAGAGGACACCATAAGTATTTTCAGAATAACTTCTTGAAATGGATACACACTTAGGAAATGAAAAAAAAAAGTAATGGTAAGGGAGTTACTGGGCATCCTCTCCCTATTAACCCTACCCCCTGCCAGAGAATTTTGATAAAATGCAAAAAAAAAGCCTTTAAAAAATGTCAAAGGTAACTGTTATTCAAAAAGAGATATAATGAAATTTGATGGGCTCCTAAGTTTATCTAAAATGATAAATATTTAATGATATATTAGTAGTTATATTGATCATCTTACTGGTTTTAATTTTTTCCAGTGAGGAAGAAGTTGATGGGATTTTAGCCAAAGAGGCCGAGCAAGAGACTGGGGGGAAAGGAAAGAAGAAGAGAGGGAAGAAGAAGGATTTGGATGAAGATGAAGAACTGGAGGAAAACATGCTCAAGCTAAAATTGGAAAATGCAGAAGGAGGAAAAACTAAGGAAAAGAGGGAGAAGAAGAGAGGTGTAAGTTGTCAACATCTCCAATGTGAAATTTAAGATACAAAGCATCTGTAATATTGTAAAAGTAGCCATTATGCTTTTTCCTTTATTGTAATTATAAGTTTGACTTATTTTTGTAATGCTTTTGCCAATGTATATCTTGTTACTATGCTAAAGTTTCAGTGAAGATAGAGTATGCGATTTAAAATTGTTATCAGACCCCAATCATTGCCTGAGTCCTGCAGTATGTGGCACTGTGGATTGATTATACAGGGTGACTCCTCAGAAAACAAGAGCATCCTTTCTAGTACATATTCCCATGAGCGTTAAACTGATTCAGTTAAGCATTTTACAAGTAGACTGGCAACTCTTCCCGAGTTTGATGAGACATAATTTACAGCAAAGGGAGAAGTTACAGCCGATAGCACAGGAGGCACCATGTCTGTTGAGTGAACACAGTCAATACCTGTAAGATAGTGCAGCACAACCACTGGAATGAGATTTCATTGAGGTGGCTGGCCTAGAGCACCAACAGCTAATTAAACTTATTTCTACAGTCAACCTAACATGCCAGGATTATTGGATTGAAGTCAGAAATTTTCCTCATTCCAAAAGCTATTTCATCTAAAGCTTTTTTGGATATGCCATTGACTTTCCAACGATTGACTCTAAGGGCTGATTGCACGAACAATATTTATTTTATATATTGATTATCAATAGCCATTGTTTAAACATTGTTTACGAAAATATTGGTTAACTGTTGTCTTCTTTTGATTGTATGAACTATCCCCAAGCTATGTTTTCATAGCCGATGGTTAGATGATGGCTAAGTGCCCCATATGGTATACTAGGGAGTTTGTTTGCCCAAAGGGCAAACAAACTCGCTATTGTCACGCCTTCAGTGCTCCATTACAAGCATAATGATTCATTTAAAGTGGCAAAAACCTATTAAAAAGTTGGTGCCAATCAGAATGTGTATCGAGAGAGAACAAACCAATTTTTTCATAGGAATAATTACATTGTTTCTTGTGTGCCTAACATCAAATTTCTTCATAATCTGCCCTGATGGGTCATATTTGAAAAGTAAGACATGTACTCAGCAATCGAACAGGTACTTCTGCTCCAAGTTTCAACTTTCTTTAGTTCTCTCCTTCATTGAATCAGAAAAGTTTCAGGAAAAAGCACCTTTTTCAAAAAAATATATACCCCCAGGGCATGTATCCAAAACTTGACATTTTTCCTGAACTCAGTCTCAGTAGGTACGTCCATGTCACGTTTTCAGCTTTCCATGTTTATCCGTTTGAGTGAAGCAAAAAAAAAATATTTTTGAAAATATCTCCCTCTGAAATTTGTGCCCCAAGGGCATTTACCTCCAAAGCCTGAATTTTTCTGAATTTAGATTCTCAAAAGGTACGTATGTATCAAGTTTCACCTTTCTATCTCTGGCCAATTCACTGAGACAAAAAAAAAAATTATTTGAAAACGTCACCCCCCAAAAGTATGCTCCCAGGGCATGCATCTGAAGCTTGACATTTTTCCTGAAATTTGTGCCTTAGTAGGCACGTCCACGCCAAGTTTCAGCTTTCCATGACTTTCCGTTTGACTGAAGCAAATGTATATCATTGAAAACATCTTCCCCCAAAATGGATGCCCCCAGGGCATGTACCTCCAAAGTCGGATTTTTTCCGAACTCTGCATCCTAAAAGGTACATGTGTACCAAGTTTCAGATTTCTCACTTCTCTAGAACATGGTTAGAATTAGCGTCAGTCAGTCACGATCGTCAAAAAAAAAATTGACGAAAAAATTTCCTGAAAATGGGATTTTACTCCAAGTTCCTTTTCCTCAACCTCGTATTTATCACTCACACGCACACAGACCTTTTTAATGACCCAAAAATGGTTCAATGTGCTCTCATCAACCAATCCGTATCATGCAGGGGCGCGTGGGAGAAGTGGGTGCGCGGGAGAAACAGGCGACAGCAGCAGCGCGACATTGGAAAGAACTCAGGACATTTTTTCGTCACTTTTTTTAAACTGTAATAGCGGCCATTTTTCTGAAGCAAACCCCCCAAATTTATATATCATTCGAAAGAAAATTGAACAAGCTTCATTTTGCTTTATTAAAAACTGATATTGGGGTCCAAGTTATTAAGCTTCAAATTTGGGGGGGGGGGGGGGGTTTGGCTCACCCTGTACGAGGGGGCTTCAAAAAGTTCGTGGAAAAATGACATTAAAAAATAACAGTGAAAGATATAAACTTTATTTCTCAACATAAGCTCCATCAAGTTCAAGACACTTTTGTAAGCGATGATACCAGCCATTTAGTCCATCCCGAAAGAACTGTGGGTCCTGGGACTTTAACCATGTCAATGCAGTCTTTTTTGCATCATCAACTGAAGAAAAATGGGTGCCCTTTAAATATTTTTTAAGATTAGGAAACAAAAAGAAGTCAGAAGGAGCCAAATCAGGACTGTATGGTGGATGCCTAATGATTTCCCATCGAAACTCTCGCAAAACTGCCCTCGTTTGATGAGAGGAATGAGCAGGAGCATTGTCGTGGTGGAAAAGGACTCTCTGGTGAAGCTTTCCCGGGCGTTTTTCTGCTAAAGCTTTGGCTAACTTTCTCAAAACACTCTCATAATAAGCAGATGTTATAGTTCTTTGGCCCTCCAAAAAGTCAACAAGCCTTGAGAATCCCAAAAAATTGTTGCCATGATCTTTGCTCTTGACCGGTCCGCTTTTGCTTTGACTGGACCACTTCCACCTCTTGGTAGCCATTGCTTTGATTGTGCTTTGTCTTCAGGATCGTACTGGTAAAGCCATGTTTCATCCCCTGTTACAATTCTTCGAAGAAATGCTTTAGGATCTTGATCCCACTTGTTTAAAATTTCCATTGAAAGATCTGCTCTTGTCTGCAGCTGATCTGGGCGCAACAGTTTCGGGACCCATCGAGCGGAAAGTTTGCTCAACTGCAATTTTTCAGTCAGAATTGTGTAAGCTGAACCAACNACCTGGCCTGAGACCTCTCGATCTGGAGAAGCAGCTGCTCGACGTGGAGACTCTCGCGGATGGCAGAGTTCCGCATCCGATCACGGCGTGTTACGCCAGCCACTCGACGCAAGAACCTCATTTCGGCAGCTTGTATTCGCGATCTGGTGCTTTCGGTCATTACCCAAAGTTCATGATCATAGGTGAGGGTGGGGAGATAAACACTCTTAAAAACCGAGAGTTTTGCTTCCCGAGAAACTTCCGATCTGGCAACCACGGTTCGCCAAAGTTCCCGCAGAACTGCAGAAGCCTTGGAGTTGCGGTTGTCGATCTCGTTTCCGTGTCGCCCATCACTCGAGAACCAGACCCCGAGGTACTTGAACTTCTCCACCTGTTACAGTGGCACTCCACTGATATGCAGGGTGCACCGAGCAGGATTTCTCGAGAGGACCATGACCTGTGTCTTGGAGACGCTCAATTTCATTCCGGCCGCAGTGCATTCGGAGTCGAACCGATCGAGCACGCTCTGGAGCTCCTGTCGAGAGCGGGTCAAAAGAACGGCATCGTCGGCAAAGAGAAGTATCCTTACCGCGACGTCACCGATGTTGACCCCCTCCAGGCCGAGGCTGCGCCTACAGATCCTGTCCATGTACATGAGGAACAGGAAAGGTGAGAGGACACAACCCTGCCGGAGTCCAGCTCGTACCAGAAAACAATCTGAACTCCCGCTCACTCGGACGCAGCTTCTGCAATCGCTGTATTGGGACTGAACGGCCCGCAATAACTGACCCTTGATCCCATACTCCTGCAGCACTCTCCACAGTTTTCCTCGGGGTACATGGTTGTAAGCTTTTTCAAGGTCCACAAAGCACATGTAGACATCTTTGGCATACTCCCAATGTCTCTCGAGGCTCTGGTGGAGAGTGAACAGCTGTTCCGTGATGCTGCGCCCTTCACGAAAGCCGCACTGCTCCTTTTGGATGGCATCACCCACGACTGCCCGAGCTCTCTTCTCCAGCACCTTGGAATAGACTTTACCGGGTATGCTGAGGAGAGTGATCCCACAATAGTTTGTGCACTCCCTCGAGTCCCCCTTCTTAAAAAGAGGAACCACCACACTGGTTTGTTAATCCGTAGGTGCCGTTTCTGATTCCCAAGCAGCCTGACACACCCTATTAAGCCACGAGCACCCATCTGTACCCATTGCTTTCAGAGTCTCTGCCCAGATTTCATCCACACCAGGAGACTTCCCATTCTTCAGGCTAGCAATGGCCTGCAGAACTTCCTCCATGGTGAGACTAGTCTCTGCGCTGAGAGGCCCCAGGTCGGGTAGGGTAGTGTCCACTGTTGGTGGGTTTAAGAGCTTTTCAAAGTGTTCCTTCCACCTCTCAAGTATATCCACCTCAGCAGCCAACACCTCCCTGTTTCTGTCTTTGATGACCCGGAGCCAGTGGCGTATTTTGGCTGAAAGGTCAGAGGGGACAGGGCAACAGAGTGGAGACACCAAACCCCACCCGAGCCATATCAGGGGAGATCAGAGTTATTACTTCCAAGGGGGCACCAGGCTCTGTCCCAGAGGCGCCAGGGGCTGCGGCTGCTCCCCCGTAAAATACACCACTGCCCGGAGTGTATGTTGCCTGCCTTGCTGTAACCTTCAGATGGTTTGCCAGAACACCTTGATGGCAGTGCGATAGTCTGATTCCATTTGATCACCGAATTCCTTCCACGCCTCCTGTTTCGCTTTGGTCACAACACGAGCAGCAGTTCTTTGCGCCTTGGTATAGCATGCCCTAGAAGAATCAGACCTACTGGACATCTGTTAACCAATGACTTAAAAAAAACACTGGGAAAACATTGTTCATGCAATTAGCCCAAAAAGTCTAATGGCAAGGCTATCTAAACTAAATCAATATGCTTTTTCCAAGAAGCTGACAGATGATGTTTTACACACACTAAGATGGCTATGTTCAAGTTGCTCCTGGTGAAAGGAACCTTATTCCTACATATGGCCTTCTGCAGAATGAGCTACACCCTGCCAGGTTGCTTAAAGCTTTCAACCAGCTAGGGCTATGGTTTAGCAGAATGAGAAAGAAGTTGGACCACTGGGTTTTTTTTAGAGTATTTGTTATACTGCAGTTCAATACTCTTCAAGACTGAAACCACTTCCTCCCCATTGAAAAAGGAAAACTTCAAATCCCCAAGGAGGAGGGTTAGGATCAGTATTTATAGAGAGGAGTGCAGTGTTCAAATGAGTATAACAATTTGAGAGTGGATGCATATCACTTGAAGATGATCCACATTCAGGTCACCCCAGCACATCTGTCACTCATACTAATGGTAGCAACCACAAGAACAGGATGGATAGGCTGTTCATTGGTGGGAAAAATGCATCATGCCAACATTGTTCCTAACCTGGGTTCTTTAAAAGTTTAAAAACCAACTGGTAATGATGATTTTTCAGGGCCTCCTTGACTTGAAAGTAAGCAAATTCTTTTTGTAAGATGCTTGGCTGTTAGCACAAATGGGAAATTCAGTTAAATGCAATTTCAAACTTCTGGATTCAAGACCAGGACAGGTGATTGAACTTTGAGCAAAGGGTAACTAGATAAATGCATAAGGTGCCTCCATTTGCTTGTTCACAGAAAAAGAAAGGCACCCATGATGAAGAAGAAGATGTTGATGAACCCCTTGACATTCTGGCCAGCCTGAAGAAAGGCCAAGGTGATCATGCTATGGATGAGGATGAAGAAGAGGAGACCATGAGGCCAGCTGGCCACAGCAGAAATGAGAAGACTATGTCCAAACGGGGGTTTGCCCTATTAGAAATTGATGAGGTGGATCTGGATGCAGGAGATGAACCAATGGAAAAAGAAGAGGAGGAAGTGATAGAAAAGGCTGTGCCTCAGAAAAAGGCAAAGGAAAAGAGAAAACCGAAGGAATTGGAAGATGAGGAATCAGAGGTGAAAGTAGGTGCAGAAGAAGAGGAAGAGAATGAGAAAATTGATAAGGGAAGGAAGAGAAGCAAGAAGGAAAAGAGGAAGAAAAAGAGAGAAGCTGACATGGAAGGAGATGATTACCTTGACAGGATTCTGGCTGAGCTTGGGGAAAAGCTCCCTCCAAAAGCAGGTTAGAGTGCCAACGTTATCTTAAATTCTGAGCCACATTTTGTTTTGCATATCATTTTTGTGAAACTTGAAACAACCTGTACAGAATCTCACTTTTGTATTCAACATTTATGTGACTGCATCTATGTCTTCAGCACTGATAAGATAATGGGGCAGAGGATGGTTAATCAGTTTATGATTTGATTTCCAGAAGAGAAGGAACCTAAAGGCTTGGTTGAATTGGAGGTTATGGATGAAATTCCTGAAGATGAGTACAATAAGAAGAAGAAGAAAAAGAAAAGAGAAGTAGAGGAAAAGAAACCGGAAATCACAGAAGAGAAAGATGGAGGAGCTGAAGATTTGGGGATGACAGGGGACAAAGAGGAGAAGGAGGATAAGGAAGAGGAAGCAACTATTAAGACAGCAGCTCAAAAGAAAAAGGAAAAGAAGGAGAGGGAAAAGCTCAAGAAATTGGAAGAAAAGAAGAAGGTAGTGATTTTATTGTGGTGTCTGAAGTCACAGCTATAGTCTGTATCCTGAATCCTTGTGCAGTGGCATTGCCTACTGCCCTTGGAGGACTGCCATAAAAGGGATTAGCACTTGTCAACTGAGTTGATTGAGAGACTCCATATTTTATTGAGGGGGTAGGAGGTTGTAAAATGGAAGAAGTTGAGTTCAGAAAAGTTTCTTTTTCCAAGTTTATTTCTACAAAAATTCCCCTTCATCAACATTATTGGTCTCATTTTTCACCATCAGCATTGACACTCATCTAATGAGCCTCATTACCCTTTGACTCTTTGATAATCTACTGTGTGCAGAAGGGCACAAGGATCCAGGATATCGACTATACCATGAACGAAACCCTGTAGGTTAGTTTAAAATGAGCATTATCTTATCCTTTTGCTCCATGGCATTGCAGGAGCAGAGGAAGCAGGTAGCTACTACACTTGTCAAAGACGAAAAAGTACCTGAAGAAGGAATTGAAGGATCTTGTGTAGCTTTTGGGACAAAAACAGAAAAGACAGAAGGTGAGGTTTTTATGTTTATTGGATCTTACCAGCAATTACAAAGGGTCCTTGATAAGTCTCATCACTTTTGAACTTCCCAATTTAAAAATATATTTTCTTTTTCCCATAGTATTGTTAAAAGTTTAACGGAAATATTATTATTGCTTCAGTGAGATTTTTTGGTTGAATAACAGCAGCTCATGAACTAATGGAAATAAGACAAATGCAAAAAAGGAAGTTTGCAATTGGTATTGTTTGTTCCATGATTTGACAGTTGGTGAGGATAATACTAAGATGTTGCTGGCATTTTGGAGATGCCTCACCTTTCTTGAGCACCATTCAGACTGGTTCATTGACTTCCGCTCTGTGATTTTTCATGATTTACCATGATTTTCATCAACCCAAAATTTCCAGTATTTCTTGGTGTAGCCTCCAAATGATTGGGAATATTGCAGAGAGGGTGATTTTAATTGATTTGACATTAAAATTCTGAGGACAAAAATCTTTATAACAGTAAAATTTACAAGGGGCAGTCAATAAGTTCCAGGAACACCTTTTTAACTTTGAGATCCCTTACCTGAGTTATGTTAGTATTATAAAAATAGTTAGTGAGTATTATAAATGTTAGTAATAGCATTTGAAAGCCCATTCTTTAATGTGCGTTTGGTACTAATTATTACTTTTTTAAGCATATCTTTCTTGTAGATATGACCTCTGGGAGTGATCCATGTAAAAACCACTGGGAAAACTTGACATTTTCTGACTTTGAGAGTCAGACTGTGGTGTAAAGCATCATTATTTTTTTTATTTTCATAGGGTCCAGAAAATTCTTGAGAGTTGTTGGAGCCATAAGGCACCATTGGGCATGAAAGAAATGTTAAAATAGGATTTAGATCTCTTGTTAAGCTATAGAATCTAAGACTATAACTTAGATGTGGAACCTTAGCTCTATAAGTTAAGAAGGCTGCAAGATCTTGAACAGCAGGCCCGGCCTGCACACACACACACACCTGACACCTCCCCCAGATTGCAAGAGAAATCATAGTAGTATGATCTTCTACCATAGTGTTTTCATGCCCAACAGACATCCTTAGCAATGATTCACATAATGAGAATTATTTTCAGGTAGTGTGATGAACAGAGAGGTCATCAGGGATGTGTTTAATATGACTTCTTGGTTAGTGGTTTCTCAGGTTTTTGTTCAAAGGTGCTGCCTTTATTAATTAATTTATCACTGAAGATCACTCAACTCGAAATGCCTCCTAGCCAAATCAATTATGAAGGCTCAGGGAAGCCCTGTAGAGCTATTGTAAGTCACTGTTGCCTTGTACAAAAAGAAAATACTTTTGGGTCCATAGGAAGTTCCAATGTGACAAGACTTATTTATTTGTTCTGCTTGTAACCTATATAGAGTATTGATGATAAGTATGTCTGGTCTTGTTCAGAACCAGAGCATGAAAAGGAAGTTGGAGTTGAAGGTGAAGGAGGAAGAGAAGAAGGAGAAGGAGGAGAAGGAGAAGGAGAAGGAGAAGGAGAAGGAGAAGATGAAAAAAAGAAGAAGAAGAAAGATAAGAAAAAGAAGAAAGGGAAGGAAGAGGAAGAACAAGAAAAGAAGAAGAAAGGACCAGGGAAAAAGCAGATTGCAGCCATCCAAGAGGCATTGAAAAAGGTGCAGGAAGAAGAGGAGAAAAGAAGACTTGAAGAGGAACAGAAAGAGCGAGCCCTTGAAGAAGCTGAGAAAAAACGCCAAGAAAAGGTTCTAAAAAATTTAGTCTCATAAATTGTTTCTTTGTCATATTCAGTCAACTCCACATATTTCAATACTCACAGGACCAGAAAAATTTATTCTATAATCCAGAGTATTCCAATAACCAAAACCATCTGCTGTATTGTACCATAAATCGGAACTGTGTAATTGTATTCCATTATGCAGAGTCAACTGTATCTCCCAAATGTAAACAATTTTAAATTGTGCTTTTCCTATGTTGTAGCTACGATTAGAGCAAGAAAGGAAAGAGAGGGAAAAGCAGAAAAAGAAAGAGAGAATAGCACGTATGAAGATAGAGGGTACATACTTGACTGCAAAGCAGAAGGAAGCAAGAAGAAGAGCCCAGATTCAGTTGGAGGCCCTTAAGGCCCAGGGTGTTCCTGTACCTGATGCAGCTGCAGCTACAGAGAAAAAAGCAAAAACCCAGAAGGTATCTCGGATGGTGAAACCAAAGCCGAAACTTCATAGTCATGCTCCTGAAGGTTATTTGGACTAACTATTCTTCCCTTGTTGTAATCACTTGAACATTTTGGTAGGAATAGCTATGATCTTGTTGTGCAGAGAAGGAGAAGGGAGAGGTTGAAGAAGTGGAGCTAGAAATTGTGGACAAAGAGGAGCCAAAAGGAGGAGCAAAAGAGGTACAGGTGAAGGTTGAAGAGAAGGTGGAAGACAAAAAGGAAGAGGAAGAAGAGAAAATAAAAGATTCCTGGGACCAGGACAGTGAAACAGAGAATGTGAAAGATGCCTGGGATGAGGAATCATCAGAGGAGCATCTTGAGGAGGATGATGGTTAGTGAGAAATACCTTTCATCATAAAAAACCACAGCCTTTTCTGGATTGCATGAATTGCATCATGCCTCTTTGCATCATATGGTTTTAGCCTGGAAATAATGAGATTTATCATGCTCAAAAGTACCCTATTAGTATGTAGTCTTTTTGGGCTTTTTTTTGAACATTCTTTTTATTCTCTTTTTACCCATCATGAGATTTGTTTCCTTCCCTTAGAGAGGTCTGAAAAATCAGAGTCTGCATTTTCTACTGAATTGGAGGCCAAGAGACAAAGGCCAGAAGTAGAGGAGGATGAGGAGTCAGAGAGTGAAGAAACTGATACAGAGAGTGAGAGTGAGAGCGATGAAGAAATGACCCTGGCTGAGAGGAGACGTGAGAAAGCCCTTGAACGCATCCAGGTTTACTTTCTCAGATCTGCTTCCTTCCATCTTTGCTACACAGGAGTATTTGCATGTGGGGTTTTACTTGCTTTGTTGCAGAAAAGAAAAGAAGAGGCTGAGAAAAATAGGACATTGGAGCATCTTCGCCAGCCAGTGGTGTGTGTTTTGGGACATGTAGACACAGGAAAGACAAAGATTTTGGATAAATTGAGGAAAACTAATGTGCAAGAGGGAGAAGCTGGTGGTATCACCCAGCAGATTGGTGCCACCAATGTCCCTGCTGATGCTGTCTGTGAACAATGCAGGATGGTTCAGAATGTAAGGAGCCAATGACCACCATAGTTTTTCACTTTCTTTTCATTTTTATTTTAACCCTTTGTGGTTCACTGTCAGACATAGTCACTGTCAGACAAATAAAATGAACTGCAAAGGGTTAAAATATGAGATACTCACTTGAGATTCTAGTGGTTGATGTAGGGTAAGTGTAAGATTAAAAGAGGAACACTTGATGTTCATTACACTCAAAACATTGAATTCTGAATGCCCACTCTTTTGTTCCAATGCGAAAAAACTAAGATTAAATCTTTAAATGCCAAAGGAGGCCTACAATAATGGAAGCAGCCCATTCTCAAGATGTCCTAGGCCTCACTAATCCCTCTTAGATGTTCATGATTAGAGTGTGGGCCAATAGCTTGACATCCAAGACTCTAGATAATGATAAATGTGGAGATTCTTATGGAGACATCATTGGAATTCTTGTTAATGAATATTTATCCACTATAAAATTCCTGAGTTTAATATATAAACAAGAACTTGGATTAAGGAATTGTTGGTTTCAAGGAAGACTGTATGCCCAAAGCATTTTTTATGTACAAGGTGATTATAAAGTCAGTTGGCAGGTGAATGATATTTTAGAACAAAACTATACACCACATGTCCATGAAACTCTGGGAGTAGTATCAGTACATCATGGAGAGACTATTATGCAAAAAAACACATATGCTCTAAGGTAGTAGCCATAACTCAGATCACAAGATCCAAACCCAATAGACTTTAGGTTGTGAGAGTATCTGAAGTCAGTTGTCTCTTCTCAATGTGATGTCATTATCAGAACTGAAGGATGTCATTCCCTGAGAATTGCAGTCCATTACCTGTGGCATGTTGAGAGCCAGTCTCCAATCTCAGATACTGGTTGGAAGCATTAGTGGAATATGGCATTGTGGGGGGGGGGACATATTGAGCATTCCAAACCCTGAATACATAGTGTTGCACCAGTAGCACCACCTATGAGGCTTGTGCTTTTTTTTTTTTGCATAATACTCTCCTTTTGATGTACTGATACTACTCCCAAAAATTAATTGAGCTATGATGCATAGTTTTTGCTTTAGAATGTAGTACACCCACTAAGTGACTTTGCTTACTTTTCATATATCAAGAATTGTATTTCACTTTCATTGAGTAGAGTGCTTTTCTTGATTTCCAGTTTGACAAGATGAACTTGAAGATCCCAGGGATGCTGATCATTGATACCCCAGGACACGAATCCTTCAGTAACCTCCGTTCTAGGGGGTCTTCACTCTGTGATATAGCCATTCTGGTTGTGGATCTGATGCATGGTCTAGAACCTCAAACACTTGAGTCCCTTGCTCTCCTGAAGAAGGGACGGACACCCTTTTTGGTTGCTCTCAACAAAATAGACAGGTGAGTCATGGAAAATGCATGGATATGATGACACATCTCCAAGCAATCCACAGGCTGGTGACCTGCTTTTTATTTTCAGATTGTATGATTGGAAGAGCAATCGGCACAAAGATGTCCAGGAGGTAATCAAAAGCCAAGCACAGAACACTTCCTTGGAGTTTGATCAGAGAGTGAAAGGAATCATCTTACAGTTTTCTGAGCAGGTAAGCCTAGTTGATGAAGATTGAAGATGATGTGTAATGTGATTGCAGCTCAAGTAAAGTAATGACCATACCATCTAGGGCATGAATGCAAGACTCTTCTATGAGAATCCAGACCCAAGGACATATGTGTCCCTTATACCAACATCAGCCCTCACTGGAGATGGGATGGGGAATCTGATGGCCCTCCTTGCTGAATTGACACAGAACATGCTTGCCAAAAGAATTGCCTACTCTGAGGAACTGCAGGCCACTATTCTTGAAGTGAAAGCCTTGCCTGGTCTAGGTACCACTATTGATGTGATCTTGGTGAATGGGACATTGAGAGAAGGTGACACAGTTGTTCTTGCTGGGACTGAGGGTCCAATTGTCACACATATCAGATCACTGCTCATGCCACAACCTATGAAGGAGCTTCGAGTTAAGGTTTGAAGTTTTCCACCCTTCTAGTGCTACTTCATTTTTACCATATGTTAAATTTATTTGGATATTTTTTTCATTTTTACCAAAGCTTAATTATTTCTCCATACAGAATCCCTATACTGAACATAAGGAAGTTAAAGCAGCTCAGGGAGTAAAGATAGCTGCCAAAGATCTGGAGAAGGCCATTGCCGGTATGGAAATGCTCATAGTCTATAGTCATTGGTCTGTGCATAGTTTATGCCTTGCCATTTGCATGGGGGGTGAGAAAACAAAACCATGTGATTCTCTTTCAGGTTTGAACATGTTGGTAGCTCATCATCCAGATGAAATTGATATCTGTAAAGAGGAAGTCCTGCGGGAATTAAAATCAGCTCTAAATGCCATTAAGCTGCAAGAACGTGGGGTTTATGTCCAGGCATCCACTCTCGGCTCTCTTGAAGCCCTACTCGAGTTCCTGAAAACATCTCAGATTCCTGTATGTTTCACATTTTATTTCTTTCTGCTTGATGGTGTGACAAGCCATTCATCAAGCCTATTCCTTGCAGTATGCTGGGATCCGCATTGGGCCTGTGGTGAAGAGAGATGTAATGAAAGCTTCTACTATGCTGGAGCATGACAACCAGTGAGTCCATTGTCATTTCCCTTTCATCTAGAGAACTTTACTGTATTTTCAAACATCTGAGAACTTTGCTATTCCCACATCCTAGTAGATGATATTGATCTGGCTCTGCATACCTCCTACTTTGGTAGGATTTCATATCATGGTAGGATTGGGTAGGATTATCATAGAAACATGGATACTCTGCACCACTCCCTATGATCTGAATATTCTGAATAATCAACCTCTTGATTTTTTTTTAAAACTCATTTGCAACCCTTTGAGTTGCCATTTTCAATCTATTCCTTCAGTTCTCTCCATGTGTGAAAAATGACCTTTCACCTTTCATGTTGCAAGTACTTTCGAATAATGGAGATCTACCACTATTCACATATTTATGTGGGACTGCTCAGCAATTAATGCCTTGTCAAACAGAGGAAAGGAGAGTATTTTCACCTCTGCACTTTGATCTTCATTAGAGATCAAAAGAGGGAGAGAGAGAGAGAGAGAGAGAGATTGAAAGTTCTGTTCACCGTCTGCGTTTGTCAAGTGGGGGAAGTGAGATGGAGAAATCCATTGATCACTGACTGAGAAACCCTCAGTGTCTTTATTACCCTCACCCCTGTAATTAATGGAGATGTATGGGAATGAACATAAGATAATTCCTCTCTTTCCCATTGATAATTCTTTTTTACCTGTCCATTGCGCTTTTTTTGTTCTGCTTCCCGTGGCCCTGGGGAAAGGGAAGGAGAAGGTTTTTGCGGCAATTATCTCCGTCATCCATCTTCCTTCCATCTCCTCTTCACATTATCCGGTTTTCACTTGGAATTAATTTCCCTGGCCGGATATGAATGCATGGACCCTAGCACACATTTTCCCGCGTCATCTTTGTAGAATAAGGGGATGATAACTCTCTAATTCGACTGACGGGAGACAAGAAGAGAACGAGGAAGTTAGCCTTGGAAGAATGGCAGAATATCTCTTCCACCATGCCCTGTACCAGTCAATTTCTTAGGGAGGAGGAAGAGAACTTCCTGACTTTATGTGTTAACCGCCTTTTTGTCAGTCGCCGTGTCGGGAATGGGAAATAAATACATGATTGAATGAGAGACATTTCGTACGAATTTAGGTATGCGGTGATCTTGGCGTTTGACGTGAAGGTGGAGCGGGATGCCCAGGAAATGGCAGATTCCGTGGGTGTGAAAATCTTCCAGGCGGACATCATATATCACCTCTTTGATAAATTCATGGCCTTTCGCGAAGACCTCCGGCAGAAGAGACGGAAAGAGCACGAAAACATCGCCGTCTTCCCCTGCAGACTCAAAATCCTCCCTCAGGTGAGCATTCAGCTGCCTTTTCCATTAAATCTCTTGTACTCCCAATCTTTCAACGAGAGCCACGCAAGATGAATGAACTCTCTCTCTTTCATCTTTAGTTCATCTTCAACTCTCGAGACCCGATCGTGATGGGAGTAATGGTGGAAGCCGGGGTGCTCAAGTTGGGCACCCCTCTCTGCGTTCCTTCCAAAGATGTCAGTTCCTTTCCTATGTCCTATTCTTCCTTTTCCTCCCTTCTTTCTTTGAGTTTGATTAATTACCTCGAGGAACCTCATTTATACAGGAGGGCTCAAGCCAGGAAGCTTTATGTTTTCTTCTCTCCGTCTTTTTTCGCATTTCTTTTGTTCCTATATTCCATAAACATACTGGACGGGATTTCCGCCTTCTGCCACTCCCGCTCCACGTTTGAAATTCTCTATCGTCTCAGGGATTTCAACCAAGGCAACACCTGACTTTAGGAAATATGGCAGACAACTTTTTAATTCAGGACTACAATCAAGCTTTCATTCACAATTTAGGACGGAAAGGAGAGTAAGTACTCGTTGGCTCATTGGTGGTTTAGAGAAAGTGACAAAAGTGTGAAGAGAGAGTGATCCGACCGTATGCGAAGCATCTCCCACACTGGTCACAGAGCTCCTAAGCGAAATCCAACATGGTTATGTACAATTTGAGAGCTCGTGCTGCAACTCTTTTGCTTTTGTGTGGCCCCAGGGAGGAAAAGCTCTCGACAGTGGTAGGTACGTGCCGTACATCCCGTCATCAGATGGAAGAATTCGCGACCCTATTAGAAAATATTGTTACCGAAGACAAGGAGTGTTTTTCTCCAATGTCCATGAGAATGCCTCCTGAGCTATTCAACACCCTTCTTGATCTGCTGAAAGAGATGACAGGACACAAACTTCCGACCATGCATTTCTCCGCGCAAATGGTGGCAGTGACATTGATTTCGGTTAATACATACTCCATTCAAATATTCTGTATATCTCAAATACGTACAAATCATACAGCACTCTCCTGTAGGAGGGGACGGCTCAAGTTTTTCACCCGAAGAACAAGTGCTTCTCAATTTAAAAAAATTAAATTTAAAATTCATGAATTGAAGCAATGGAAAATAATCAGGAATATAATTGGTATCGAGACCTTTCTTGGATATTTATATTCTATAACTATGTATCTCGTTCATGGAGAATCAATGGTGATGATTGGCATCATCTACCGTCGAAGTCATTCCACCAAAAGAGCTGCCAAATGATTCATAATACGTATGCAAGGATTTCATAACTTGCTGTCAATAGATACGTAGCGCGAACCACTGCGAAGATGCGACAGGAAATGACCCGTCCGATTCCGTTGCGAAGCGTATTGCGACCGTCTGCGAAGGTCCCACGCATCTCCAATGCGACCGATTGCGACGGTCACAACGCAGCTCTTTGCATCAGTGTGCATGGCCCCTACAGGAAAGGAGAAAGGACACTGTATCCGAAGTTTGCTGACTGCTAGATGATGATCGATGCTCAGTTCAGCTCCACGCCACACCCTCGTATCCATTACAAGTCTCCACAAGTCCGCCGAAACAATCACGTTATCGAACAGCAATTGCTGGTACATAGTACCAGTCTGACCCCTTGTGCCAGGTAAACTCATGGATATCCTTGTGCTGAAAGAAGGTGTTGGTGATGGTCAGGCTATTGCCAGCTCAGAAGTCCAGTAATTTTCTGCCACTCCCGTTCAATGTGGCTTTCCCAAACCGACTGATGAAACCACTCCATGTAGATTTGTCTCATCCAACTCGTGCATTGAAGTCCCCCATCAGCATGGAACAGCAGAATGGAACGCTGTCGCCGCCCAGAATCCTTTCTAAGGTTCCATTCACCTCCTCCAAGAACGTATCGTAGTCTGGCTCGCTGTTCGGCCCGTAGACCTGAATGACGGCCAAGACTCTGACTCGCTCCAGTCTGAGGCGGGTCAGAGTGACGCTCGCTGACTGGGTTCCATTCAATGACGCTGTCAGCCAGATGGGGACTGAGTATCCCCACTCCTGCCCAAGTAAACACTGTTGAGTCGACTCCACTCCAGTAGAGGGTCCATCCGTGGTCTGGGGTTATGGAACCGGCGCCTTTCCTCTTGGTTAAGACCAGGCCAACTATATCTAGTCGTCTCCTCCTAGCCTCCTCCCCGAATTCAGGCTCCTTACCGCCGAGTGTTAACACATTCCAGGTCCCGATGTTCAGAGTCCGTTACCAAGGTCGTTTGCCATTCGATTCCGTTCCTGGTCTGCTCTCAGAGCAACGTGCCGAGAATAAGTTATGGCCGATGACAAGCCAACCGATAAGCCTGGATGCAGCATGACGGGACCCGACGCACCCAGAAACATCGGATTGCCCGGCCCCAGTAGCCAATTTATCAATAGTCACCCTGGGAGCGCAGTGTCTATCACAGTCCTGATTACCCTGGGCGACGACTGAGCCAGTATGAAATACCCGAGCCGAACTCATCATGCTGATTTTGGTTCGTCTTGGTCACTCTCAACGGAAGCCCTTGTAACATGGTTGGATCTGAGATACTACGGCCTTCCGCATCGCTGGGGTCCATCCTCGCGACGTGGACGCGCGGACCGTTAAGGCATTGGCCTTACTAGGTCTAAATGTTATCAAAACCTTCCTCTGTACTTTTCAGTTAGTAGAAAGTTGACATAATATTTGCCTGTTAATAACTTGATATTAAAAATTAACCAATGTGTAGGACAAGGATCACACCGTTCGAAAGGAGCATGATTGTAGGTATACGTCGAGCCGGTGCCACGGTAACCCAGACTGCCACTCGGCTGAGCCAAGCAAAGACGACCGTCATAGCGTGTCAGCAACGGCAACACGACAGAAAAAAAAATCGACTGAGAGAGTTAGCTATGACCTTAAGCACCTTGCCATGAACAAATTCTCTATGGTCCTCTCTAATAAAATTATACTCTCGGCTCACATGAAAACTCCAACTTACGTGGTCAGATCTAACCCTGTATAAAGTCTAATATTCGACGGTTCACGGCTTGAATTGCTAAAAAAGTCAAAATCAAGTCTAATTCTACTATCTGCTCATTGCATATGTTATAGTATATTATTAATATTAGTATCAGCTGTCATTAATATCTGCTCCGCGCATCAGCAGAACTTTCCTATAAACTTTCCAATGTTCACCGGAGATTCAAGTATTTTCTATTGTTTGTACGGGACAAGTGCACGAAGTGACGACGTTACGATCTCAGTTTTGAAAGGTGCATTTACTCATTTGCATAATGTAATAGGAATCACTGGGGTGTCAATGCAAATGAAAGGCCACGAATCATGCTTCTTTTGCTGATGGGTCTTTGCTCCAGCACAATTTATTACCTGCCTTGCTTGTGTGGAAGGTAGACATGGTTAGGCTTTAAACTGTTCTGAGCAGAGGGATCGAACACGGATGAAGCTAGTGCGGAAGAGAACATATTGCATCAGAATTATGACGTGACTTCCAATCATTTTACGGTTGGAAATGTACAGGGTGTTTGTCAATTAGTCACCATTTCAAAGTATAATTTTTAATGCATACAAGCTACTGCAGTGATTCCCATGCCATTAAATAGAGCAAACTTCAAAGTTTTTTTCATGTGTAGTTCAGCGCAAGGTAAGCTCAATGTGGCAACCATGTGCATTGCTGACAGCGCGGAGGTGTACAAGCATGTTATTTATCAAACTATTTAGCAGATCGTCAATGTCAATGGCACATTACATTATTGCTTGTTTTAGTTCAGGGACTGGCCAAGTAGCTCTCTTGAACACTTTTTCCTTTAGATATTCCCAATGGAAAAAGTCACATGGTTTGATGTTGGGGCTAGTTTGGGGCCATGACAAACTACTGATGAACATGTGTGAATAGCAGTTTGAGATGACTCGCTCACAAAATTTAATAGGTTGTTCGCATGTTGATACGTTAATGACATCAAGTTAGGATTGCCAACTGCACAGAAAAAAAACTTTGAAGTCTGCGTTATTTAATGATAGGAGAGTCATCATGAGAGCTTCCATACTTCAAGTTTTATATTATTTTAAAATGGTGACTAATTGACTGAAACACAGTACATCACGGCGAAGATGAGCTCATTCTGGGCATGGGTAGCCCCTGTGTGAAAAACGGACGCAGTTCTGTCAGGCGTGGCGGGTTACCATGTATATGAGGCTGAAGTCCCTTTGGCCTTGGGGGAAGAAAAAAGAGATGAGAAGAAACAGTCCATGTGCGTTGTTTGCTGAAAGAATGGTCATTGCGAGATTCAATAGAGTTTTTCGTCTAATGGGATATAGTATGTCTCCGTTAAGTATTTGTGGAAATACATTCCAATATTTTCCATTACCACCATGTTGATGCTTGTCAGCGCATACCGTATTGAACGAAATGCATGATAAGCTCGATGCGCTTACAATACCTCCCCTGTACACCTCTCCATGTATGTATTCCTTCGAGTAGAAATTCAGTCTGTGTGGTTTGTTGCCGTGTCAAAATGGGCAAAAATATGGAGTACACAATCGTATGCAAGAGTGAGGGAGAATGGCAGGGAAGGAGAAGGAAAGTGGTCCGGGTACGGGAGATGAGGTCCAGTGGTCCTCGTCTTCCCATGTCTCCTCTTTTCTCCTCCCTTTCCCTTGCTTGCTGGCCTCACTAGAAGGGACTTTAAGGAGTCACACTCATTCTCTCTCCTCTTCCCCTTGCTGCTGGTTGGACATAGATGAGATTCTGACCACATTGGCACTTCTGCCTCTTGCTTCTCGTCACTTCTTACCTTGCTCTCCTAACTTCAACCGAGAGAGCACATCCAGATATATTATGAAATTCTCTCCCCTCTGTGAATGAAGAATGAATGGATGGGACAAATCAGGGTAGGCAGACCGCTTCTGGCAAGATTTTCCATTTTCCATCGCTCATGGTATGATCTTCGTTACAGTTGGTTGCAGTGTTTTCTCATTGGCTAGAAGTGAAACGTATGCCCCATGTTCTCTACCGAGTAAATGAGTGAGTACCATGCATGAACTGTCTGGCAAATGGAAAGGAAAAAAGAGAGAAGGGGAGAAAGTGGATTCTCATTCAATGGGTTGGCCTTGGTTCTCCTGTCACAGACAAATGGTTTCCTGTTTTCACCGAATTGACAGGAAATTAATAATTCTCGCGGCACATG